AGATTTCTGTTGTCGCTGGACCATGCTAGGAAACCCATGTGCAGATTCTTACATAGTATTAGAATCCCGCCCTCAATTCTCACCACCTCCCTATCCTTCCCCCATATGCCCCACACTCTTTTTCAAAATGAACATTGAGTGGTTTTAACTGAGCAGAGAATCGCTTAGACTGTCCCAGGAGAATTAGTCTACTGAAGTTTTTTTGTTTTTAAGGCAGCACGAGTCAGTGACAGAGGACTGGGTAGGGGTTGGGGACCCTACCATATAAAACACATTAGGGAGTTGACATTGGAAGGAAGCCAGAGATCATTTTGAATTCAGTGGGGCTCTTAGTATAACTAGCTAACCTGCCCAAGGTGTCTGCCCCTTGTCCTTCAGAGGAGTAGGACTTAGGGGCAAGGACTTCACACTGAAATATTCTTGTACCTTCCACAGAAGGGCCTGGTCCCAGCGAATGCTGGCGTGTACTGTGAAGTGTGTGAGTACGTGGTGAAGGAGGTGGTCAAACTCATTGACAACAACAAGACCGAGGTATGTGGACTGCGCCGCTGTCTTCTTGGGGCCACCATGCCTTAGTGGGAGATTCTAAAGGCCAACTGCCTGGGAATATACAATCCTTTCCTCAGCTTTACCTATATATTTGAATAATATTTTATCGAGTTCTTGTTGAAAGTTGGCAACTTCACCTCTAATTGTTCAGCCAACATTAGTTATTTACATCAGTGGGTCAATGTTCTCTTTAATTACGTTCAGTTTGTGCCCTTTCTGGTACTCTAGTTTTCTTACATCTTTGTCATCTTTGCTGTCATCTTTGCTTTTGAATAATGGTTGTCCTTTGGTCTCATACTTATATAGGGCACCACTCTGCTAGTTTGCTGGAAAATGACCCCAGGGAGTAGACTTGGTTTAAAGAGTGTTTCAGTTCGTCTGGTGTCTCCCCCGCCACTTCTCAGTAAGACATAGGGTTCTCAGTGACACAAAAGTGCACCTGCTCATTCTTTAAGGGTACAAGGGTCAGAAGTCTTATGGGAGTTTATCCCAGAGCATGTCGAAGGAACACGATTTGAGTCTCTTTAGGATGCCCAAACTGCAATTTGATGTGTAAATCAAAGAACAGAGTTGTTCTGGTCAGGGTTAGGGAGATGGGAACCCCACATTTGAAGTATATGGGTCTAGTTAGAGGATATGTCAAGAAATAATAACTTCACATTTTGATGATTTTTATTTAATAAAATAGCGATTCTGTTACAACAGTACGTTTTCACTTAACCCTTGTATGTTCTTTATGGCCAATTGGCTTATGGTTTTGTTTGTCCTTAGTTATCTTTTAGATGATTTGTTCAAGTTCATGCCAAGAATCGGCTTTTCTTTTATTTTTTATTTTTAATTAATGTCTTTCTGCTGGGTTGATTCTTCTATTATGAATCTTTTGTTGATTCTTCTATTATGAATCTTTTGTTCTTTTATTATGTAATTTCTTATCTTGCCTGCTGTCAGTATCATTATTTTGTTTACTGGTTGCATGGGATGTTTTTCTCTGCCCTTTGTCTGTTGGTGTCCTTGTGCAGCAAGAGGATGAGTCATGTTTATATTGTACTTAATCCTTACAAACTTGATACTGTATTGTTTGCAGGATTTATTCTCTGAAAATATCACATACTTGGTCCTTATCATTGATTGTGGGTTTTTTTTTGGAGCCTACTCCCCAGTGTATATGTTGCCATCGAGTCGGTTCCGACTCATAGTGACCTTGAACAAGTTTCCAAGGCTGTAAATCTTTACGGGAGCAGAATGCTTCATCTTTCCCGCGGAACAGCTGGTAGTTTCGAACTGTTGACCTTGTGTTAGCAGCTCGATTCGTAACCACTAAGCTACCAGAGCTCCTTCCCCAGTGTATATATAAAGAGTATTAAGGCTCTTGCCTTTCATTTGGAGCGCTCCTTGGGTTAATTCTTGCAGAGCTGGTCTGGTGGTGGCAAATTCTCAGCGCATCTGTTTTGGGAATGTCTGATTTCCCCTCGTATTTGAATGACAACTTGGCGAAATGGAGAATTCTAAGTTGGCAGTAGTTTCAGTGTTTTACATTGTTGCTCCTTCCTTTTCGGGGAGAAACCTGCATTGATTCCTAATGAAAGCCCCTTGTGGTATGTATTATGTGTTTTCTCTTGCTGCATTCAGAATTCTCTCCTTTTGTATTTTTAAGAATTTATCTTTTTGTTTTTTAAAGCTGGGGTGCGTGTCGCTTTGTATATTTGCAAGCGTGGTTCTCTGTGCCTTTATTGACCTCTAGGTACTCTTGGATCCTAATAATTCGAATACTAGCTTTCTTCATTGAATTCTTGTAATCTGTTGAGCATTTCTTTGTTCGAGTAGTTGTTTTGTTTTCAGTTTCCAAGTTGAGACTCTGATGTTCTCATTTTGTCCCTGATATCTCTGCTAGTGTGTTTTCTGGGCGCATTAAAAAAAAAATTAAAAAAAAAAAAAACAAAAAACATTTGGCAGTATAGTATGGCCTTCATAGAAGAAATTTTCTCGTCTTCATGTTTCCTTTTTATTGGTTCTTCTTTTGCAATTTTTTGTTTATTCTCCTCTGGACTGCTAACTGAAAAATGAGCAGTTCAAACCTGTCAGCTGCTCCTTGGAAAGTCGGAACTGAGTTGAAGGCACTTAACAATAACAACATACTTTGTTGATCTTTGGGCTTTTTTTCTCCCCTGGTGTGTCTGAAACATGTCTGCTTGGATGCCAGAGTGGCACAGGGACCCAGTACATGACTGCTAGCCCAATGACCAGGGCCTAGATCCCCAACCATTTCATGAGGCAATGGTGCAGCAGCCCACCTTTGCAAATACACCCTGCCCTGGAAACCTCACGGCCAGTCTGAGTCAGACTGGCCCAGTGGCCTAGGCTTGGGATGTTCTCCTGAGAACCACTAGAGGGTACTCTTATCCCTAGAGTTCTGTGTTGATTCTGGAGTTTTAGAGGACTCTGGAGTTCAGGATACATTAGCAGGGGGGTGGGGTGGGGAAGGTGTTCAACTTCCCGGTTGTCTGCCTTTCCCTAATGGATGGCCCTGCACTAGCTGTTCCTCCCAGTCGTGGTGGCTGTCCATCTCGGGACTCAGATTTGACAGCACTTCCTTCAAATTCTGTTACTGTTTGAGGTGGTTCCCAGCATCAGCTGCAGTGAGTGCCGAGTGCCAGCTGTTGTCCGTGTTCTGTGCTCTGTGTGTGCTTGTTTTTAAAAAGTCATCTGGTAGGCTTGTTGCTAGGGAGTACATGGGAGCCTACGTTCACATTGCCTCCTTGCCCCACCCCTAGGTCCCTCCCGCTGGTGTGCAGCTGGCCATTCTGCCCAGCTTTGTGGCTCCAGCATCTCGGGGAGGAAGAAACACTTGGTTTCTGGCTGGCTTCCTAGCTCGTATTTGTACACTTTCCTACCCCTGCTCAGTCTCCCAGTATCTCACATATTCTTGTCTTGATTTTCAGCAAGAAATAATCCACGCTGTAGAGAAAATGTGCTCAAAGCTGCCCACCTCCATGTCCTCTGAGTGCCAAGAGGTGGTGGACACCTACGGCACGGCCATTCTGTCCATCCTGCAGGAGGCCAGCCCTGAGCTGGTGTGCAGCCTGCTCCACCTCTGCTCCTCCAAGGGGCTGCCAGCTCTGAGGGGTGAGCCACAGGCCGGGTGGGTAGGCGTGGTAGCCTGTGGGGAAGGGCCCTGCCAGCATTGAGCCACGCTCTCCTCTCTAGTACATTTGGCTCGGCGCAACGATGGTGGCTTCTGTGAGGTGTGCAAGGAGCTGGTGAGCTACTTGGATCACAACCTGGAGAAGAACAGCACAAAGGAGGAGATCCTGGCTGCCTTAGAGAAGGGCTGCAACTTCCTGCCCGACCCTTACCAAAAGCAGGTATGTGCAGGGCTGCTTTAGGCCCACAGGCCAGAGCAGACAGCTGGGTGGGGCCTCTGAAGCAGAGCCCATCCAGCTGCCTCCAGGCCCCATTACACCCCACTGTGCCTAGCCCCGGGCCCTTACCCCTACTTTCTTTTTGCAGTGTGATGAGTTTGTGACCCAGTATGAGCCTGTACTGATAGAGGCCCTGTTGGAAGTGATGGAGCCTTCCTTTGTGTGCCTGGTAAGCTTCGCTGGGTGGTGGGTGTAATGTGCAGAGTGCAGTGTGGACCCTGGGCAGTTCTTGGCTTTCCTGAGGGGTGAAGGTGGGACACGGAAGCACCAAGAAGGGAGAGAACTAGGACTCGGTGCTTTTCTCACAGCCCTGGTCTAGCGTTACGGCAGAGTCCTGAATCTGTCTGCTTTTAGAAGTTTTGAAAGTGATTATTAATTAGGCAAATAAACTTATCATTTGCTCTTTTTCATCTAGAAGGTGGGAGCCTGCCCCTCTGCCCATAAACCTATTTTGGGGACTGAGAAGTGTGTCTGGGGTCCAAGCTACTGGTGCCAGAACATGGAGACAGCAGCCCAGTGCAATGTGAGTAACGCGTCACTCCAGACCTGCCTCTGTGTAGGGAAGCTTTCCATGCGGACCCTTCCCCCTTGACCTTTGGCTGTAGGAAGAGCTTACTCTGCCTGTGTATAGACAAGAAAGCTAAGGCCCAGGGAGGGGAACAGACTTAGCCATGACCCCTCAGCTATTAAGATGGGACGTTGGGGTTAGGTCTGCTTCCTGTTCTTGTGACTGTATCAGATTTGCATGTGGGCAGCTGGAGTACTTGGGCTCCCTGCCTGCACCCTTAACCCAAGTGCATTTGCTGTGTCTGGACTTCATTCATCGGCCACCCAGGCCCAGCCCCCGTGGATTGGTCTTGCTGGATGGCCATGCTGCTTTTATGGGTAGAGGTTTGCACAGGCCCCTTTTGCTTAATGTTCTTTTTGTGCAACGTTTTCCCTTACAAGGGGTTCCTTGTAACCAGCAGTGCGGGTTGAGTTGTACCCATGTTAGAGGAGGTTGCACCACCTGCCTTACGGGTCTTGGGTCACACCCAGGCCATGTCTCAGCCATCTGTACCGCACCCCCACCCCAGTTAGTGCACGGACTGCTTCCTGCTGCCCTCCGACTGGGTAAATGTGTCCATGACCTCACTTCTCCAGGCCAAGCTCGTGTGTACTTCTGACCATTGAGTGAGAAGAGGCTGCCTGAGGGGGCCTCTACAGTCTACCAACAGTGTTGTAATTAGATGCTGGGGTCCTGGGTCCAAAACATTATAAGGACTTTGTATCTGTTGTTGTATCTTATGAGCGCCAAGCTCCTGCTAACCACATGTTCTCAGGTTTCAAATGAGATTTGTTCTGTGTTTTAAGTGTAATGTGCCATCGGGCTGACCCAGAGCAAGGTAGTAGTCCTACTTACGGTGACATCTCATACTGATGGGCCAGGAATGGTATTTGTCACTGAAGACTCAAACTGCTTTCCTCTCTCCTACCAGGCTGTCGAGCATTGCAAGCGTCACGTGTGGAACTAGAAAGAACGTTCCATCTTGGAGAACCACAGCATCTTTTACTACTTGTGTAGCTGGGGGAATGAACGCACACATGTATTGGTTTTGTTTTTAAAAAAATAGGTTCCCTGTTTCTTAAGTCCTTTGTTGTAACATTGCTGTCAGTGTGGGAGTCGTCTACCCCCAACTGACCTAGCGCTTCAGTGTCCCTCTTCTCTGCTGGACAGTGACTACTGAGCCTGCCTTTTTATGGTGGCCACGTGGCACTGGCCTGATACAGTGCGTCCTGACGGATGGCTGTCCGTCGTCTTTGGACCTGTGGTCTCTGAGCTTTTGGAGACCTCCGCCTGTACTAAGGAGGACCCCTCCCCCAGGCTGGTGGTTTCTGTACAGAGAAGTAAAACAAAGGCAGTTGTATGTGAAAAATTAGCTCAGAAGAGTTAGGCTTTTAAAAGCACTGTAGTTCCCACTGTACTGGCTGGGGGGAGTGGGTGGGCTTCAGGGTTTGCTGTCCCTGGCTGATACTGATTCAGCTTTCCTGTGTCTCTTAGTGATGCCTCATTGGGGGGGAGGGGGGGAAACTGCTGACTATAACTTGCTAGCTCTGTGTGGTGGTCCTGTGGGGCCACCGCCTGCGTGTTTCGTGTCTGCCAGCCCTTGCTTTGGGCAAATGCTCTTTTTGACATACCCTTTCCAATCAGCGTGCAGGTGATGCTCCTAAGCCTCGGCTTTCTGGGGGTACAGTGGGCACTTCTCTTTTGTGGTTGCCAGGCAACAGCGGGCAAAGCCAGGAAGATGTGATATTGCTAGTAAACGGACAATGATTTTTGTTTTGCACTAAAGTCTGTGATTTAACAATAAAATATTGTCAGCCAGATCAGGACCAGAGCATTTATGTGGCTAGCGCCATCATGCCCTACCAGCCTTCAGCTCCTCTGGTCCTTCCTGATGCCCGCCCCCCAAGCCCAGCCCCACAGGAGTTGACAGAGCCAGAATGTATTGCTGGTTCCTCATGAGTTGCTTTTCTTTTTAAATAGACCGTTCCAGAAACTTCCACTGAGTACCAGTTAAACAAAACGAAGGGAATAACTTAATTTAAAAAAGGAATACACATGAACACACTACACATTCAAGGGAATACCAGTCACTTCGCTTTAGAAGCTGGGGGTGTTGGGATGCTGATGAAGTGAATGCGCTGCTCTTGACCTTGTCCGTGTGGATGGCAGGGCTCTCCCTCCCTGCCTCCACCTGGATGTCCAGCTAGGGATGTGATGGATGTCGTGGCTCCCGGCGCCCTGCTTACCAACTCAGGTGCTAGGCCCTTACTCTGTAGGGAGAGGAGAGGTATGGGGCAGGAGGAGTGGGGAGAAGAGGGGTCTGCTTGTCCTCTTGACCCAACCTGAGTGAGCCAAGCTGGTCACCAGACTCCAGGGGCCCCAGTGACTATCCTTACCTCATTCTTAGACACTTAGCATTTTGTTTTTCTTAAAAAAATAACAAATTTTATGAAGGTAGGTAGAGATCAGATGCTGAATGAATGAGTGTCTAGTAAAGTGAAATCAGAGTGGCTGGCGTGGCCGCCCGTCAGAGCTCTGTGATCTCCAGGGGGCTCTCCAGGATCACGTCATGGAGCTTGTGCAGTGGCGTGGATTTGGCGGACTCGGTGCGGGCATTGCGCTCGAAGGCACTGGCTTCAGCGGCCGTCAGTGTCTCCAGTGAGCGGCCCAGGCCCTTCTGGTCATCCTCAGGCAGGCTGTTGAGGTCAGTGGCCAGCAGCGTACCCATGCTACCGTGGACCATGTGGATCCCGTCGGGGCCCTTGACTTCCACTGGCGGCTTGTGGCGGAAGCGTAGGCTGCCTTGGCTCGGGCTGCACTCCCCTGGCTCCTCATCCAGCTCTGTCTGGATCAACTGCAAAAGGCCCAGCCCCCCCACACTGCTCAGACCCATGGCAAAGGGGTGGCCGGCTATGTGGCCCCAGACACGCTCCTGCTCTGTCCTTTCCTCCCCCCACAACGAACCCTACCCTAGGCTCCCTCCACAGCACGTTGTCCAACTTTGGACAGTATTTCTCAAACTGGGGCGTAAAAGGGAACCACAGATAGTTGAGGTGTAGGAGCTACCTACGGGATGCTTGTCTTCATTCTGATGGTCTGTAAAAACCTTTGCTGCAGTGGTATCCACCTGGCCTGAAGAAGGATTACTTCATTGTGGCCAGGTGATGCTGGAGGGTGAAACAGGATGTAGTGGACTCAGGATGGCCCTTTGGTCCTGCCTAAAGCAGAGGCTTTTCAGCTCTAGCCAATTCCACTTGAGAATGTGGCCCTGGCAAGAATTGTGGATGTCCACACCAAGTCTGATGGCTACATGATGGTGTCCTAATAACTACAGCAGGCAAACAGGCAGGCGTGACAGCCAGCTTCTGAAAATGCCGTCATTCCTCAAAGGTACTGTTGGACTTTCAGGGATCTGAGCAGTGGTGTCCCTGACCCCATTAATGCTCCCACAGAGCCCAGAGAGTAGAACCCAGGGCCTGACGTGGCAGCTCCTGTCATGTCTGTGCAGCCCTCCCTGATGGCAGAGTTTGAGACGCAGAGAGGGGAAGGTGAGCAAGAGCATCCCCAGGCTGGGGCACAGCACGCAGCCCCCCGCCCACCCGCTGCCTCACTACCTCGGAGATGGAGGAATGGCTGGAGGAGGCTTTTTGCACCATCCGCTGTGCAAAGAGCTTTTTGAGCCGCAGGTAATCCTCCAGGACCACCTTCAGCAGCGAGCCCTGGGGGAGGGAGAGGGTTAACCCCCACCAAGGCCCTCCCCTGTCTGCCTCCCGCATGGAAGGTGACTCTGGGGGGGCGGGGGGTGTCACTGAACTTGGGGGTACATACAAGCTCCTCGACCGTGATCCTAGAGAGCATCTTGGAGCTATCATAGGCAGGAGGCCAGTTATACAGATGAGAGCAAAGACCCAGGTGGGCGCACACCTGAGACCGGAGCCTGGGCTGCTACTGCTGAATCATCCATATCAGCCTCAGAGCCCTGGTGGAGGGCTGGGTCCGTCCCTCCCTGCATTCCTCAGGAGGGGTCGGGATGCTGGGGCCTGCTGGCAGGGCCTCACCTTAATGGGTCCCTCCCGGATAATCTGGCCCAGTTTGGCAATGTTGTCGTATTCCTGGAGGGCTGCCCGTAGGTACCGGTCCTCATCAGGCTTGACAGCTGCTGGCTCACGTCCAAACGTACCCTGTGGGGAGGGGACATGAGCTGGAACAGAGCTAGACCCTGACCCTTTCACCCTCCACCCAACACCCACCACCCTCTGGCTGGCTCACATGGGTGCGGGTGGGGCTGTTCCACAGGTCTGCAATCTCACTCAGGTTCTCCGGCAAGTCGTCCTCGTGCTCAGCCTGGGCAGCCAGCTCCAGATTCCGGCAGAAAGGATCCAGCCAGACAGGGTTGGCCCTGTGAGATGAGGAAGCTGGGGGCTGGCAGGTTTGAGGGCACAGGTGCTTTCCTGGGCTCAGCCCCACCCCTTCCCCTTTCTCTAGGCCAACTGCAGCATCTTTCACAGAACCAGGGTGTGGGGTGAGGAAAACAGGCCTCCCCAGGGCTGGAGGCATGCTTCCACCAGAGGATCCCGCTGAGACCAGGACAACACATCATTCTGAATCAGACGTGTTTCAGAGGATTGGGGTGCCCACGCCCCCAGTTTGAGTCAATCTGTTTCCTCAGCAGTCGAGGGACTGCAGGAAATCTGTCTGCAGGGTCCTCGGCAGGTGCCCCAGAGAAGACGGGGCAGGGCTTGGGAGTCCACTCACCCATCGAAGGAGTATTTGTTAGTGTTGGGCATGTCCATGATGTCCATGAAACCGCGATTCCCTGCAGGGAGATGGGTTGAGAGGGAGGGCGACCTGTCCCCTCTGCCCTTCCCGACTGCAGATACTCACCTGCAGAGCCAGCTACGATGGCTTTGAGCTTCCTCTTGTGTCTGGAGAGGAGCAGAGACAGGCTGGTGAGGGCTGGGCTGACATCTTAGGGCCCCTGTGGCTGCCCCAGGAGCAGGGCAGTGGTGGGGGTACTCACACGGTCCTGTAGTACCAGTTCATGAGGACGAAGAGCATGGCCGCCAGGAAGAGGAGAATTGCCAGGGCGATGATGGCCATCTGGGGGGTGGGGGCAGGTGTCAACAGGTGCAGTTGCGCCTCTCACTGCAGTCAGTGCAGCGAGGGGGCGTGGGGGATACCTGCAGGGCAGACATGTCATCGGGCAGCCGGACGGGGATGGCTGGCTGCACATCCAGGACGTTGTAGTTCCGGAAGAGATTGCGCAGCTGCTCCTTGTTCTCATCAATCATCTGGATCACCCTGGACAAGAGGTTAGGGTGTTAGCTCCCTTCCTCCACCCTCCTTTGGTAGGTCCCTGGCCCTCCTGGTCCCCACCCACCTGTCCACATCCAGGATGCGGTTGGTGTCCCGATTCACCACGTGGATGAGCAGTTCTGTCTGTGCAAAGTTCACCCGACCCTTCTTGTCCACGTGGAACTTAAATGAGAAGGGGGATGGGTAGTGTAGACAGGCCTCTTCTAGGATCCACTGCTGTCCCACCCCAATAATAAGCCCATCTCTACTGAGTGCTCATTGAGGATCAAGAATGGGGCCAGTCGATTTCACAGATGAGGAAAATGAGGTCCAGAGACCCCAGAGGGGCACACCCCATCTCATACGCATGTGTGTGTACACACCTCCCTGGTCTGCCCCATTGCCCTAGGAGGCCCCATTGGGTACCTGAACATCGTCAGTGTTGACGATGGCACCTGTGATGTTAGACAGCAGGCGGATGAACTCCTCCTCAAAGCCACGTACTCGGTCAGGGATCTCATTAATGACAATCTTGACACGCTGGTCATCTCTCAGAATGTAGATGCCAATGATGGCTGTGTCATTGTGACCAGCCAGGTCCCTGGCCACAATGTCCACCACAAAGTAGCCAGGGCTGTAGGCCATGAAGAGGTCGAAGGTGCGCAGGATACCATCCACATTCCCTGTGGGAAGAACCCGAAGGTGGGGCACAGCTCAGGAGTCATAGGGAAGGTGGACATCAGTGGGCAGCACACCTGTGCAGGGCCCAGAGATGACAAAAGGGGACAGGGGCTCATGATCAGGAGGACATCTGAAGGGGCAGCATCTTGCCCCTCAGTTAGGCTGACGATTGTCACCGGGAGTGACAGATCTGAACTTTTTCTAGAAAACTCAGACCTTCATAATATGTATGTAAAACTACTTGATTTTACACTGTTGACCTAACCACTTTGTATGTTAAACACAACTGCAGGGTGCAGACTCTAGGATGGTGAGTGTGTGACCGCCCCTGCACGCTGTTGAGGTGCAGTGTGGGGTGAAGGCTCCTTCGTGCCTCACCCTCGGGCTCTGTCTCAGGTACTGAACAAATGCTGGTGGTTCAGCACAGTCTTTCTTAGAAGACAGTAAAGAGTAGGAGGAGCTCAGAAGCAGAAGGGATAGTTCTGTTGGGTCATCAGAGAAGCTTTCCTGAAGAAGGTGGGGAATCCGAAGACAGGTGGGATTGGGGATGGCAGTGAGGGAGCCAAGGAGCAGGGAACTCAGCAACTGGGTTGTGGGGCACAGACAGGGCGTTTGGTAAGTGGGAAGGGTGTGGAGCAGGAAAGAAGGATTAGGAGAAGCCTTGAATGTCCGGGCAGAGAGTCTAAATTAACTCCTAAAACAGAGCAGGGAAGAAGTTGGGGCTACAGGTAAAGGTAATAAGCACATTTTTAGGTACAAGTGTGTATACTCTGATTTTAGTTTCCCCAAGGCCAGTACAATGTCTGCTGGGGTGTTTGAGAGGCCCACATGGAAAGATAAAGAGGGTACATGGAAAGGGTGGGTGGCCGAGTGGATAGGTGGGTGAATAGAAGGATAAAAATGTCTGGGTGGCTACGAAATGGACGAGTAGATGAATGGACTGATGATGAACAGACAGGTGGGTGAATGCAAGGGCATCCACACATACCTAGTGGTGTCCACAATGACCCTCAGACTACACACCATGGAGGGTCCAGTTACCTACCCATGGTGAAGACTTGGCCCACATCCTCAGAGTCATTGGCAAAGGCCTGGAAGTAGTGAATGGCCAGGATACTGTAGAAGACCAGACTGTTGTTGCCAATGTCTGCATCCAAGGCCAACACCTGGATCAACTCCGAGCCCATCTTGGCATCGGTGGCCACTCCTGCAGGAAGAGGTGTAAGTGGGGGGCATGTGCCTCCCCACGTCCCATGCCCAGGCTCTGGTCCCTGCACCTGCAGTATATTCGGCCTTGGTGAACCGCGGGGGCTGATCATTGACATCCTCCAGCACAACCCGAACCTCCTGCAGGGAGAGGTCAATCAACAGGTCGAGGGCTGAGGAGGGTCCACGCGGAGGTGTCCAGCTGCGGTTGCTCGAGGCTTTGACAAGGAAGGAGAAGACAGCCTCCCGCTCCCGGTCCAAGTCCTTCAGAATCAGCAGACGCCCATCGGTTTGCAGATGAAAGTTCTTCTCTTCATTGCCAGCTGGAGGTGGGACCAGGGACAGGGTCAGGGCCCTTTAGGGCACCTCCAGCCCCGGGGTAGGTCAGCATTACCTGCATTGGGCCCCACCTGCAATGAAGTAGTACACAATGGCGTTGGGGCCCTCGTCTGTGTCCACAGCCCCTGTCACATTGCCCACGAGGGTACCGCGTGGCGAGTGCTCAGGGACTGTTAATAGTTGGTACTGGGGGCTGCCTTTCTGCAGGGGGAGAGAGTTGTCAGGAGAGGAAGGCTGGGCTTCCACCCCCAGCCTGAGAGTCCTAGATTATGCCTCATAGTGCTCAGGGGTGAGCAGAGCAGCTAGAATCTCAAGAGGGCCAAGGCTGCAAGGTTCTGTCCCTAGCAGGTCGTCAGAAGTATCTAGCAACTAGACCAGTGTCAGGCGGAGTGACAGACTCATCCAAGAACACACAGGAAGAAACACCAGGAGGCCAGGCTGTCTCTGCCTACAATAGGGCCCCCCAGACTTACTGCTCCATTTCCTTTCAGCCTCAGCCCCATGAAGCACAGCTGACTTGCTGCAGTGGATTAAGTGTTGGGTTGCTAACCTAAAGGCAGTTCAAACCCACCAGTGATCTGTGGCCTTGGAGACTGGAGCAGTTCTGCTCTGTTCTGTAAGGCCACCATGAGTCAGGATCATATAGATGACAGTGAGCTTTTGTGCACGTTTACATGCTAATTCAAGAATATCAGCGCTTGAAGTCCAGGCATTTTTCTCTGCTCTTTTGCTTGCTGGGTCACGCCCAGAACTAGTAGCTGCTCAATAAATACCTGCTCACCGATGAAATACAAGCAGACAGACGCCTGTGTGTGGGTACTGTGTGTAGGGGAGGTGGGCAAAGGTGTTGGCAGCTTACTGGGGGCCTCACGAAGAGGGGCTCGTTGTCGTCGATGTCCTCTAGGGCTACCTGCAGGGGCTGCATGGTCTCATACGGTACGGGCTGGCCCAGATCGCTGGCCACCAGGATGAGCTATGGGCGAAGAAGCGCAGTCAAAGAGTGAGACCCGTGTGGGGGAGGGAGAAAGGAGGCGTTTGAGGAAGCGGAGCCCCGCCCCTTACGCTGTACACCGCTTGCTGCTCTCGGTCCAGGCGTTGCGCAGTCTGGATGAGGCCGCTGATAGGGTCAATGGTAAAGTACTCCCAGTCTCGGTTGCCTGCTGTCTTCAGGAAGCTGTAGCGCACTGCCCCATTGAGGCCCTCGTCCTTGTCCATGGCATAGACCTCATACACATTGGAGCGCAGTGGGACCTCCTGTGGGGGTGAGGAGGGGTGGGAGGCTCCTAGACCCCAGAGCATTCCAGCTCCCAGACCCAGAGATGGAGCCCTTACTTTTTCTTCCATCACCTCACAGCATGCTTAGGACACATGCTGGCTGCTTGACTGGACTCTTACAAATTTTCCCCCACCCCACCCCTAGCCAGGACCACAGCTGGCCACTGACAGTACAGCCTGGGCCCCAGCATGCTTCACTGGGACCACTTTCCTGGAGTTCCATTGCATGCTGCAGTTGAGAGGGCAGAAGGGGGACACACAAACAGACCACAGCCACCCTTTGTCCCTCTGTCTTGCTACCCTAGTAAACTACCCCAGTCACAAGAACTCTGGGTATTCCCAAATGACAGCATCCATCCTAGGGGTATGATGAAAATGGGGACCCACAGACAGGGTAACATGGCAGATTATCTACCTCAGTCCTTGTAAGTACCATCAAGTCAGTTCTGACTCACAGTAACCCTGTATAGGGTTCCAAGGCTGTGAATCCTGAGACTGGTGGGCTCGAACCACTGATCTTGCAGTTTTCAGTCCAGTGTTTTCCCTAGAGAACCACCGTACTCCCCTGGGTCTGTCACTAATTCACCATGTGCTCTGGACATGCCACTTCAATGTATCTCAGTCTCATCTCCTGAATTCCCTTGAGATAAGTCTAAGATAGAGAAAAAATCTAATAGAAATCAGATGTGGATCCATGATCAGACTAGAGAGGAGAAAGAGCTAGAAAAAGAGAGAGAGGTGTTTTTTTTTTTTTTTTTTTTTTTTTCAGTTGAAAAATTATCAGCTCAGCAGGTTTCATTGTTTATCTCAGTGGTCATGAGTCTCAAGCCCTAACTAGAAGTCACATCTAATCAATAAAAAGTAGGATGACAACTAGACAATTATTTAACAAATGCTGGTTGTTTGAGGGACATAAATCTTTTCAAACATGGAGTTCTTGAGGGAAGAATTTAGTAAATGGGGCCTTTGAAGTGGAAAAAAAAATCTAGATTATTACTAATTCATATTCTGTCTCATTTCACAAAAAATATTTGAAGCAGTTTACAAGGAAGTTAGATTGAACATGTTCAAACTCAGGGTTAAGAAACAGGGAGAGGAATTAGCAGAAAGGTGGAGATGAATGGTGAGAGGTACGGTATGTGCAGCCAGCCCCTGCAGGTCACACCAGGCGGGACTACTCTGAGCTCTCTGGTTGCGGGAGCAAAGAAGACCATTCAGTTATTGTAGATGTGCTTTATAGATGTGACACTGGATACAAGGTAAGAGCAAATCACAGTAAAAATAGGTAGCGCTCTGGGAGAGATATCTCCCATGGAACCTCAAAGGGGACAGAGACGAACAATATGGATTTAGACTGACATTCTGAAATGCAGAGACCTCCTGCAGTCTGGGGCCACCCCAACTGAACCACCAAGGAGCTTCTGGGGCCCGTTCTAGAAGACAGAAGGGAAGGGCAGGGGACAGAAAAGTGCTTCCTCCATCTTTATGTGGCAATTTAGACCAAGGAATGAAAGAACTGGAGAGATTTCTGAACCTCAGTCACTTCCCTTGTTACTTATTTTGATGCCTATCCTGTGTCCCCAGGATGTCTCCACGTTGGTATCAGCAGAACGACAGACAGAAAGCGCATGGGTGTTTATTTTGAGACAAGTATGGGGGAAGTGGGTGGTTGGGGAAACTGTCCTTGGCAGACATCTGGGGACAAGAGATGGGACATCTCCTATTATTATTCCCACTTTGTAGTCATTTGGCTGGTAAGTGTTAGAGTTGGACTCATCAAATCTGTTGCTAGCATATTCCCCTGTTAAGCATTGTCTATGTGGTTCTAGGTATGTCTGATCCCTTCTTTGGTCTCAGTTTCCCCACCTTCACAAACAGGGGCCTTTCCATTCTCCTCTGGTCATGACTAGAGGATAAGCAAGAGGACTAGATATTGGAAAGTAGATGTTGGGGGGCAGGAGGCTCAAACCTGGGGGGGAGAGGCAACAGTACCTCTCTGATATGTAGGATGGTGCCGTTGGGTGGACGCACGAAGACAGGGCGGTTGTCATTAACATCGATGACCTCTACCAGGAGCATGGTGGTGCCCCAGAGAGGGGGCTCTCCTCCATCCGTGGCCACCACGGTGAGGTTGAACCTCTCATAGGACTGCAGTGGCCGCTTGGTGGTCACCAGGCCTGAGTCCACGTCCACATGGAAGGCCTCTGGTGGGTGGGACAGAGGAACAGGACCATGGCAGCTGCTCCTCTTCCCACCGTCACCCCCCCACCCCCCACATGTATAGCAGTCTGCCCCTCTCCTCCCCACAGGCCACCTACCTGCCCCAGGGCCCTCCAGTGAGTAGGTCAGTTCTGCATTGGAGCCCTCATCCTGGTCAGTGGCTATCATGGTGATGACAGAAGTGCCCGCTGGCTCATTCTCATACACGCTCGTGCTGAACTGGGGCTTGGAGAACTGTGGTCGGCAGTCGTTGACGTCCAGCACCTGGATTACCACCTAGTGGGAGGTGCAGTTCATAGGTCAGGAGCTGCCTCTAGGGACCTGGTCCCACAGGAGTCAGTGGGGTTGGAGGAAAGCCGGGTGCCCACTAAGGGCTGAGAATCAAAACACTGTTTCTATGGTGCTGGGCTCTCACCTCATATTTAACCTGGTGTGGTGCTGTGGGAGAAGCACTGGACTGCAAGGTCAGTTTGAGCCTCAAGGTCTGCGGTTCAAACCCATCAGCTGCTTGCAAACCCTATACCAGGTCACTGTGAGTTACAACTGACTTGACAGCACTTTAACCATCACCTGTTTCCGTAGGTGTACACCTGGGATAACAGTCTCTTCTCTCTGGGCCCTATAAGTTCCCACATGATTATACAGGCTACATCCTTAGTTCTTGGCCCAAGTAAGAACTCAGGTAATCTGTGTGGTGCCCTGAAGCAGGAAGCCCCCTGCCACTCTAACAGTGACCCTAGAAATCTGACTCTAGTCTCCGGGCCTTAATGCTGGCTTTCTGTGATTCCTCCACTCCCTAAAGTGTGTTCTTGACTTGGACTGATCCGACCCATACACTCAAACCGGGCAGTGAGTCCCTTACCCCTCTGTAACCTTCTCCAAGCAGTACTTTCTGGAACCCCTCTCAGTGCACAAAGCACTTTCAAAGCCCCGCCTCCCAGACCCCTCACCACCACAACTCTAGGAGGTAGGCATCACCCATGGCTCCCCACCTTTATGGATTTGGCAACTGAGGCTGAGAGAGGTTAGAGGACAAGTCAGTGTGCTCAGCTAGCAGGATCTTAGTCTTCTGACTCCAACCCCCTGCTTTTCACAACACAGCACAGGCATTTGAGGGGGCTTCAAACAGTTCATGGAAAAATGGAATGAAAAGATAATGGAATTTTCCCATGAATTTTCCTGAAGCCCCCTCGTATGGAACAGGGACAAGATTCCACTCAAATGTCAGTGTCCCTGTGAGGCAATCTCACTCTGCCTGCTAAAGAGATCTTATCTTTGCCCATTCAGCTTCTCCCCACCCATAGGAGAGGTGCCTTTCTGTCCTGAGTGGTCAGGTTATTGTGTAGGAGAATTGAAAAAGTCCAAAAAGACGGACTGGAGAAGGGGGAAAAAGCGATGGTGGAGGGGAATAAAGAGAAAGCAATCTCAAGGCTTGGGGTTTTGCATAAAAATGGGTATGGAGGGCTTAGAGGGGGAGAGGCTGCGCTTAAAGCTATGAACTGTGGAACTGTGTGGATACTGAACCTAACTAACATAGGAATGGGCCGGTGGACCCGGTCTCCCATTCATGTTCTTTAACAGATATCATTAACGTTAACAACTTTATAATTACGTTTGGATATTGGCCTGTGTTTCTTTCCAACGTGGCACTGAGGAAACACTGAGCCATGTGGACCCCCCCCCCCCAGGCTTTATTTGGGTTATAAAAGATGAGGTTTTCTGCTCCCATAGAGGTTTATAGCCTTGGAAACCCTATATAGGGTTGTGAGGAGTCACAACTGACTGGATGGTACACAACAAGAACAATGTGTTTAGCTTCTTTGAGAGAGTCCCTGTTGTCTTAAGCCACAGCCATTTTAACCCATTAGGTGACCTCTCGCCTCCTCCTTCCTAGCACTGTTCTCTGAGGGGACTGGGTGGGTCTGTTCCCACTCTGCAGAAGTCATTCTCTAAAGGTTTTGCTTGCTGCCTCCACAAGCCCAGTGCCTAGTTTGTGGCCCAGGCTGGTGCCAGCACCTCTCACCTGCACTGAGTTTTCTCGATGGTTGCTGGTTACATCACCAGGGTTGTCTTTGGCCAAGGCAGTCAGGATATAGTGGTCCTTCTTCTCCCGGTCCAAGGGGGACAGCACACAGATGTCACCCTATTGGGGAGAATGGCCTTTATTCAACAGATATTTGTTGAGCATCTCTTATGTGCCAAGCATGGTTCTCCATGCTAAAGACACAGTGTGAACACAGAGAAATACCCCAAGAAGCTGACATTCTAGCAATTCTTTTTGTCCTTACTACCCCATGACAGCCCAGTCTGGCACTGGCACACAATAAGTGCCCATACATATTCCCTGTTCTTAATGCCAGGCTAGGAGCCATGTTTGATTGCTTGCAACAAGCAGGAAAGCTTGAACTCTGCAGAAAGGACGGAGTGCAGGGGATGTGGGCAGGGAGGGCAGGTTCAGTTCCAGTCCTAGCAACTTGGGAAGGTCCTGCCTCACCAACTACCCCCAGGCCACAGGACCTTCTCCTTGTACTGCAGACAGTCATTGAAATCAACTAGTAGACATCTGAACTCCTCACTCATCTTCTCTCTGGGGTTTCTACTCTTCTCCTCCAAGCCTGGACTTTATAGAAGCATGGAAGATGCACCGTTTGGGCCTCTTCCCTCCCCTCGCAAGGAGTATATGACCATACATACAGTAGGTGCTCACTGCGTCAACTATACATACAGTAGGTGCTCACTGAGTCAACTATACATACAGTAGGTGCTCACTGAGACAACTAT